CTAACTATGGTATTCCTGAAATTTAATTAATCATTCTGGCTGGTGCCAAGATAGCATATTCATTTGGCCATGGATGAAGGGGGTCTTTTTTCTCCCCTAAGGCCCACTGTGTACAATTAGTTCCACTCTGTAACCTAATTAATGGACTGAAGAAGAATAGCTTCTGGCATCAATCTCTGATCCTGAAGCAGTGGAAAAACATTAACAAACTTGGAACATTCACAAATCCAATTGTATGGCTGAATGCATGTGACAATGTAAGAGGTATCATTTCTTTGTTAAAGGAGCAGAATTTATATTTTCAGGATATATTCAGAGAGATTGTTTGGTACATAACTATGCTGATAATGGAAAATATTAAAGTAACCTACATGTAACATGGCATTTCTAGAGAAGTCAAGGAAGGATGTACTTTAAGGCTCCAAAGAAAGTAAACTATACTATTTGTGTGGAAACCAGGGAGACCAATATTAGAATTAGATAGTCTATTTCCATCAACTTTTTGCTTCTCATCAGTACATATTTTGGATGTAAATGGCATTTGTAAAGTTCCATTGCTGGAAAGTTGAACCGTGAGTGACTGCAAACTAGTAGTGGCTCCAGAGAACATATCTCCTTCCTCTCAGCAGAAAGGACGACAGGGACAGAAGTTGAGTATCTTGTTACTGTGGGTCACTGAATCTGTTTTCTTTTGTTTACCTGTTTTTCTTTGTTAGAAGAGACTGTTGCTAAGTATCCAGTTGGGAAGTATAGTGGACAGGGTAGGAAGTAGCCAGACATGACTGTGATGTAAAAACAAAAGGCATCAACAAAATTCCATTTTAAATTATCACTATCTTCTCTTTCTGATGTTCTTTGTATTCTTAGAACTTCCAAGATTTTTCTGCTCAAGTTATTAAATTTCCTTAGGACATGACAAACATTTGAAAACCATAGGAATTTAAACACTCAGCTACTCATGCCAATGGACAAGAGTAGCGACAATGATAGCCTAAAACAGAGGGTAATCCGAAAATCATTTGTATTGGGCTATGGAATGCAGCTTTACCCTTTACATTAACATTTCCCTAGAATGATGTTAAAATGTCTATAGTTCATGTCCCCATGTAAGGGCTAGGAGTTGATGAAAGATGGTTTGGGAGTGTACAGAGATAAGAGAGACTTGCCTAGTCTTAAAAGTCCACAAAATATGTTCTAAAAATTGGATTTTCCATATGTAGATAAATTGGGAACTGCAGAATATGCAAGTTGTCATTAAAATCCAGACAAACTCAAAGAACTCCGTAGTGAGGAATACAGAATGCTACTTTGGCTGTACCTAATGCAATAATAAAAAAGTAAAACAAATCACTTCCTGCTCTAAATCCTATGATCCTATGATTCTATGACTTCTTAATTCAAAATAATTAGCCGCCTATATGCTAGTCCCAGTTTAGCTTTTCACCACAGAGATAAAAGAAATAAATCAAGCTAGCTCCCCAATAGTACCAGTTTAAAGAAAACTCATATTTATCAGAACATACTTTTTAAAAGCAGTTCCACTTAAAGTCAAGTTCTGGAAAATGTTTCAGAGGAAGCATGAAAGACTTGTCCCCTAGAGTCCAGAGAAAGGGTGTGCCAAAGAAATCTGACATAACAGGATTTCTCCATCCTTTAACACTTAGAAGAGGATTTAGAGTGAAAGAGGTCAATTATGCCTTATCTAGAGCTAAAAGCTTTGAAACTTTCCCAAAGCCATAGAAATTCTGATTGATTTAATAGTTAAAATTATGATGCATCATCTGTTCCCTCAGAAATTAATAGCTGCAAATTTAAAATAATTTTAAAAGTATTTTCTTTGTTCCCATAGGTCTTTGCAGATAATTTTTTTTTCTTGGTGAGGCAATTGGGGTTAAGTGACTTGACCAGGGTCACACAGCTAGTAAGTGTCAAGTATCTAAGGCTGCATTTGAACTCAGGTCCCCCTGGCTCCAAGGCCAGAGCTTTATCCACTGCACCATCTAGCTGCCCCTAAATCTTTTTTCTTAACAGGTCAGATTACTTCCATTCCTCAAAACCCTTTTACATGAATAAAATCCAAATTTCTTACCTTGGCATTCAATGCCCTCTGCAAACTGAAGCCAATCTAACTTTGCAGTTTTATCTTGTACTATTCCTCTCTTGTATTCTATTCTCTAGACAAACTGGACCGTTCCATGAACACATTACATGCTTTTCTCTATACCTTAGTCTCATAGTTTCCTATGAATGGAACCTCCACACTACCACAAATATAGCTATGGCATAGTGGAAAAAATTCAGGATCTGGAATCCTAGGATCTGGATTTGCTCTGTCCTAGTTGTGTGACCTTGAGGAAGTCATTTAACTTCTCTGAGCCTCAAGTTCACTGTTGGAAAAATGGAGATAATATCTACAGATAAGGTTCTGAGAAAAGCACTTTTCAAACCATAAATTCCCATATGAATGAGTTATTATTTATGCCTGTTGAAACCCCACCCATCCTTTAAGACTCAGCTCAGTGTCACCTCCTCCATGGACCTTCCTGTTTCTAAAAGACAAAAGTTGTCTTTCCTTCCTTGTAACTCTATTAAACTTATTTTGGTACCTCCCATATACTATGTTTATTCTGTGTAGTTATTTTTGTAGTTGTATTACCTCCACACTAGATTTTCAGGGCAGTCTTATTTATCTTTATAAATTGCTTAGCAGAGTGCTTTGCTCTATAGTAAGCACTTAATGTTTGTCCAGTTAAACTGGGGAACTGAATTCAATGTTTTTCACTCTAGTAGCAATATGATACAATTAAGCTAAGAGGGAAATCAAGAAGTCATCTAGTCCTTAGTATTCTGTGGGCCAGGATTTTGAAATCTGGGGAAACCTGAATGAAAAGCTGAATCAATCTCTATGATGATGAGATATATGAATACACACACACACCTGTAGTCACTTTTCTGCATGCCAGGAACCATAATGTATAGCTCAGTGCTAATTTTATGTATTGTGGCCATTTGACAAACAGAAATATTACTATTCTGGTTAATCCACTCTAGACCCTACAATATTCATCCAGGGGTGGGGAACCTTTGGCCTCAAGGTCACATATGGCCCTCTGGGTCCTCAAGTGCAGCCCTCTGACTGAATCCAAACTTCATAAAATCCCCTTAATAAAAGGATTTGTTCAATAAAACTTGGACTCATTCAAAAGGCTGCACCCAAGGACCTAGGCCACAGGTGGCCTTGTGGCTGCAGGTTCCCCACCCCTGATCCTCTCCCTAGTACCAGACAGTATGCCTTTTTTAATGCAGCCCAAAACTGCATTAGCATTTTTTGGGTGCCACATTAAACCGCTGACTCATACTGAACCTATGTTTAGTTATTTTTCAGATGGTTTAACCCTGTTTCTCTCATCTTGTACTAATGAAAATAATTTTTTTAAGCCAAAGTATAAGACTACACTTATTCCTATACCATTTTATCTTCTTTGATTCAGTCCAATGTTCTAGCCTTTTTTATCCTATTAATCCAGTATACTAGCTGTCCTTGGCTCTGCATCATCTAAAAGATATAAGCACTCTCTGTGCCTTGATATGTCATTAGTAAGTGTTTAAATAGCACAGGGACAAACACAGATCCTTAAGGCACTCCACTGGAGACCTTCTTTGCCAGTTGATTCTGCTTCCTCATTTATTAAATGAGACTAATACAATTTGTACAATCCATCTCAGAAGAGTGTTCTGAGTAAACATCTAATGGTATAGAAATATTTATTATTATTAGCAGTAATAAAAACAGAGGCAGCAATCTTGTACACCTAGGCTACAGGATATTTTCCCCATAGTAAACAGTGTGGTAAAAAGCAGCATGGCAAAGTAGATTGATATTGGTCTTGAGGGACACCTAATTAGCTCAATGGATAGAGCACTTGCCCTGGAGTCAGGAAGACTCATCTTCCTGAGTTCAAATCTGGCCTCAGACACTTATTAGCCGTGTGACCCTGGGAAAATCACCGAACCCTGTTTGCTTCAGTTTCCTCATCTGTAAAATGAGCTGGAGAAGGAAATGATAAATCACTGCATCTCTGCCAAGAAAACCAAAAGCAGGGTCACGAAGAGTCTGACAGGGCTGAAAAATGATTGACTGAACTGATCCTGAAGTCTAGAAGACCTGAGTTTAAGTGCTGACTCTCTCCATTCTCTTTTTGAAACTCATTCTTCAGAAATCATTAGCTTAAAAGTGATTCCTTCCAAGTTATAAACCTCCCATAAAAAGTAAGTTCTTTGAGAGCAATTTTTTTTTAAATCTTTGTATCCCTAGTGCCAAGCACAGTCCCTGGCACATGGTGGGGATTCCATGTTTGTTAACAATTTGACTGATGAAACTGCAATTCTGGATTGTCACTTTCTGGCATATGCTTTGATTGATCTCCAAAGAATGTGAAGCACCGAGCTATCTAGGGGTACTGTCTTACCTGAATAATGTAATAGCTAGTAAGTATATGGAGCTTTGAATGTTTGTCAAGCATTTCACAACCCTGGGAAGTAGGTGCTATTATTATTAATAAAAAGGGTTAAGTGGGGCAGCTAGGTGGCGCAGTGGATAGAGCACTGGCCCTGGATAAAGGAAGACCTGAGTTCAAATCCGGATGGCTGGGTGACCCTGGGCAAGTCATTTAACCCCATCGTCTAGACAAAAAAAAAAAGTTAAGTCACTTGCCCAGGGCCACACAGAGTGAGTCTGAATTTGAACTCAGGTCTTCACTCGAAGTCCAGGCTCCTATCCACGGCGCCACCTAGCTGCCTCAAATCAAACCTAAGTCTTCTTTTACGGTTAGCTCCCACCTCTCCCCATTTTCTCCACCCACGGAGGGGCTCATTCCCCAGGGCTCCCAGTCCTCGTCCACACATTGCACGCGACTCGTCTAAATATAGTTACGAAAGGTCAGGGAGGGGCCACAAGCCTCAGCCGCCCGCCCCTGCCTTCCACAGATGCGCAGGACACACGCCCGCTCTAACACATGCCTCGGGCCCAGGAGAGCCTCCGGTTCCCTCCCCACGGCCCCCGGGAAGCGCCAAGCGTGGGAGCCTCCAACCCCTGCATCTCCCTCAGAACGGCTCGAACCTCTTCTTCCTTCCAGGCCAGGTCTGACGCACTTCCGGCGGATGTCGGGCGGGGCGCGGGGGAAGACGGGCTCGCAGCGGAAACGGAAATGGACAGCGGTGCGGACGAGGAGGAGGACGAGGAGGGACGAGGAGGAGGACGAGGACGAGGAGGAGGACGAGGTTTAGCGCAGTGGCGGCGGGCAGGTGGATCGAAGATGGTGAGTGTAGGGTCTACGCCGCGCCGGGGGAATCCCAAGTCTCCCGAGCGGCTTGGGACAGTGGTCAAGGCCTCGGTGGCTCTGCTCTTCATACCCGTCCCGAGGTACCGCGGGATCGGGCCGGGACTCGGCTCGCGGCCTCTGCCGAGTCATGGGGAGGAGGAGGGGCAGCAGCAGTGATGGAGGCCTTGGCACGACCTGGGCTTTCCTCTCCCTGTCGGCCTTCCTTTGGGAGCCTCCGGCCTCCATCTGAAAAGAACTAGACCGATAGTAAAATGGTAGGCTGCTAGATGGCGCCGTGAATGGAGTGCCAGGCCTCAAGGCAGAAAGGCCAAGTTCAAATCCAGCCTCTGACAGTAGCTGTATGACCTTGAACGAGTAACGGGGAGCCTATTTTCCTCAGTTTCCTTCTCTGTAAAAAGAGGGTGATGATTGCACCTTACCCCCTCGAATGACCCAGAGCAAGTCACTTAACCGCTTTTTGCCTCAGTTTTTTCTGGTGTAAAATGAAGATGATAATAATCGCACCTACCTCCCAGGGTTGTTGCAAGGATCCAATGAGATAATAATTGTAAAGCGCTTATCATGTTGCCTAGCACATGGTAAGCCTACAGGAATATTAGCTATGTATGTGTGTGATATATTTATGTTAGCTATGTTAACTATTATTAGTTGTTATTAAATACTCTCTAATTTTTTTCCTAGAGGGTGGAGAAGAGATCCTTATCTCCCGAACTCTTCAACACCCTCCTCCTTAATGTTATGATAGTAGAGAGGAAGGGGAATTTTGAAGAAATAAAATAATATTCGATGACTGACTAAGGAGTGAAAGGGAGGGGTATGCTGGGTAACTTGGGACAAGAATGTCATCCATAGAGGAGCTGGATGACTCCAGGTGATGGGGAGCCATTGAAGGTCATTGAGCAGGATGTCCATTAAAAAACTTAACTGCATTTTTCAGTATTTATTTTGAGATGTTTTTGTGCGTGCTAGAAATTACTAAGCTGTATAAGGGAGGAAGGATAGTATATCAAAGACTGGATTTAGGGTAAAAGAAGAAAATAAGCATAGGCTTAAATCCTGCTTTTAACACATAATAACTGTATGATCTTGGGCAAATCATTTACTTTCTCACTGTCCCAGGCAACTAAGATTTGTAAGTTACTAACAAGTTGCCATCTTTTTCCAGTTTACTAATGGTTTCAAAATTTTTTCTGCAGAAATAACATGTACATGCTTAAGCAACAAATAATTCGAAGATAAATTTTACATTACTGCCTGTAATGAAAATTAATTATATCAACATTATAGTTTTATATATTTTACAATGCAGTGTATCTACTAGTCATCTTTTTTTTTAAACCAGTTAGTACCTTAAACTTTTTAGAAACTGAACACATAAACTTACTCATTGCTAATATGGTAACAACTAACCATTTTCATTTTGCAGAATACCAGAGGACTTGGATCTCAGCTAAAGGACAGTATTTCAGTTTCTGAACTTTCAGCTAGTGCTCCTTTTGGGAACCATGATATTCTTCGGAGGGGGTATGTCAATAGTATTAAGATGGGCTTTATTGAAATGAAATTATTAAGTGAGAACCCCAATAAGAAGTTTGGAGTTCAGGCCAAGAGGAAATGGAAAGGAAGAAATGGCTGAGAGAGGCATTACTCAGGAAGTTGTTTTTTTTTTAAGTGCATTAAAAGATATAATTAATTTTTCCGACTAATTAATTTTTTATTAATTTATTTTGATTTATCAACAAACACTTCCATAAGCTTTTGAGTTTTAAAATTTTTTCTTCTCCTTCCCTCCCCAAGATAGCATGCAATCTGATATAGGCTATACATATACATTCCTATTAAACATATTTTCACATTAGTGATGTTGTAAGGAAGAATTAGAACCAATAGGAGGAACCACAAGAAAGAGAAAACAAAACAGAAGGAAAAAAATAGCAAATAATATGCTGCTATCTGCATTCAAACTCCATAGTTCTTTCTTTAGATGTGGATAGCATTTTCCATCATGAGACCTTTGGAGATGTCTTAGATCCTTTCATTGCTGAGAAGGGCTGTCTATTAAAGTCAGCACAACATGGCTATTGCTGTGTACAAAGTTCTCCTAGTTCTGCTCACTTCACTCAGCATCAGTCCATACAAGTCTTTTCAGGTTTTTCTGAAGTCTGTGTGCTCATCATTTCTTATAGCACAATAGTATTCCATTACATTCATATACCACAACTTGTTCAGTCATTCCCCAATTGATGGGCATCCTCTCAATTTCCAATTCTTTGCCCCCACAAAAAGAGCTGCTATAAATATTTTTGTACATGTGGGTCCTTTTCCCATTTGTATGCTCTCTTTGGGATACAGCCCTAGAAGTGCTGTTGCTGGGTCAAAGGGACTAAGGAAGTTTTCATAGGGCTTTAGCATCGATTGCACGTTATAAGTAGGAGGAGAGCAAAGGATGACTCCAAAGTTTTGAGCCTGGTTGATTGGAAGAATGATGGCACTACAAATGGGACAGTCCAAGGGGGTAAAAAGGCAAGTAAGTTAGTCATTTATAGCACATATAAAATGAGTCTTGTATGTCTTGGTTGTAGTTAACTCTTGACTCTCTGTTTATATGGAAAGAAAAAATGTAAAATTTACTTGGTGTCGGTGACCAGAGATTCCTATTCTCCAGTAATGGAGTTACATATTGTTGTTGTAGCAAGAAATAACTCCAGGGCTTTGGAATGTTTCCACGTGGTTTAGTGTGAAGATGAGAAAAATACATTTTAAAATATGTAGAACTTTATAGAATTCAGAAGCTTAATCAGTTTCTTATCTGAAATAATGTTATAACTAAGTATTTTTTGCAAGATATCAAATCACCATCAGGAAACTTGTTTTATGCATTCGTAAGTCTTCTTAGAACCAATGAAGGAAAGTCTTGTTTTTCGGTTTAAGTTCTTTTCCTGTGATGAATGTGTTTAACCTTCAGAAATGTACCTTAAAAGTAACTAAATTAAATGTTATTTTGAATTTTCATGCTGACTGGTTTAATCTCTTTTTTATATTTTCAGTTTTTCTTGTGTCAAAAATGAACTTTTGCCAAGTCACCCTCTTGAATTATCAGAAAAAAATGTAAGTATGTAAATGAATTCATGATTCTCTTATTCTTATTCCATAAATTAAAAATTCACCTGCTAACATTTAACTTATTATATAATTGTATTAAAGCATTTTCCACTGTCAAGGAGAAGTCAGTAAGCCATTTATTAGGTACTTATGTGATAAATAATGTGCTAAACACTGGTAATACAAAGAAAGGCAAAAACACAAGTCATTGTCTTCAAGGAGCTCACATTCAAGGGAGTAGGAGGAGGGCATATTAAATAACTGTACATGTAAGATATATACAGAGTGGATGGAAAATAATCACAGAAAGCACTAATGGAGGTGCAGGATAGGGATAGACGGATGGATCAGGAAATGCTTCTTGTACAAGGTAGGATTTGATCTGAGTCTTGAAGAAACTAGGGTAGCTAAGAGGCAGAGTATTCCAGGCCTGGGGACAGCATAGAGGTGGGGTTAGTGTTGTGTGTGAGAAAAAAAAACAGACCAAATTAGTTGGATTGTAATGTGTGTAGAGGGGAGGGAAGATTGGAAAGTTAGGAAAGAGGCCAGGTTTTTGAAGAGCTTTCAATGCCAAGCAAGAGTTCATATTTAATCCTAAAGGTACTAAAGATTACTGGTGCTTCTTGAGCTGGGATAAAGTGATATGGTCAGACCTGTACTTTAGAAAAAATCACTTTGGCATCAGAAGAGTGGATGGTTTGCAGTGGAAAGAGGCTTGAGGAAAGAAGACTAATTAATTAGAAGGCTATTGTAGTAGTCTAGGTAAGAGGTGATACAAGCCTATGTGAGACCCTATACTAGCTGTGTGAGTGGAGAGAAGGTAACATACACAAAAGACAACACTTGGATATATGGTGTGAGAATGTGGAGTTGAGGATGGTAAAGTTGTGAGCCTGGATGCCTGGGAAGATAGTGGTTCCACCTTGACAGTAATGGTAATTTGTGGAAAGAAATGGAAAGAGGGAGTGTTTCAGGGGGGAAAGATGCTGAGTTCTATTTTGAACATGTTGAGTTTTGAGATTCTTATGTTCAGTTCAAAATGTTAGGCAGTTGGTGATGTGGAACTCAGGAAAGAGGAAGCTGAATATATAGATCTGGGAATCCTGCGTAGAAGTGATCCTTGAACCCATGGAAGTTGATGAGATCACCAAATGAAGAGTGTAGAGAGAAAATTAGAAAAGAGGCCCAGGTCAGAACCTTGGCGGTTACCTGTGGTAAGTGGGTGTGACTTGAATAAAGATGTAGCAAAATAGACTGAACAGGAGTTGTCAAATAAGCAAGAAGAAAACAGTGTCACAGAAGCTTAGAGAGTGTCCAGGAGGGGGGAGACAATGAATGATCTGTGAAATGATAAATTTTGTGAGTTAACACAATATCGCATTGATGCTCACTTTCTACTGACTTATTCTTTGATAGCTTCACTTTATCCTTATCCTTTAATTTATTACACAATATTGTTTAATGTTATTTGTTGGGTACTTGTGATTGGGATAGGGACTATATCTGTGACTGTATTGATCTAAGGAACTACTTGGTAAGGAAAATTTCTCTACCAGTGCAAATCAGTAGTTTACCTGAAACTTAGTCTTAAGAGAGTTGCTTGAGCATTGTTGACAGTTTAAGTGACTTGCCCAGGGTCTTATAGTTAGTCCACAGGTATATATGTCAGACTGTGCATGTTAAAGATGAGAGAGAAGCCTAGGCCTTCTGGCTGCCATACCAGTTCTCTTATTACCTATGCTCTGCTGTTTTTCTGGAAATGCAAAATAAAAAATGTAACAGTCTGCCTTCAAGGAGGTACTCAGGAGTTAGTTTTTTCCTACTTGCGGTGCTTAATGTACTACCCCAAATTTAACTATTACTTTTCTGTTAATGAGACCAAAATGTATCTCTCAAGCCTTGTTTTTTTTCTGCTGAGGTCCTCTCTTACATTTCCAACTATTTGCCATTATCTCAAAACTAGTATGTCTGAAATTGAGGTCATATATTCCCCCAAACATACTGAAAATTGATGGCCAACACTATAGTGAAAAGTCCCTTTTAATTTAGCTAGTTTGGTTCTTAAACTATGAACTTAAATCCTACGTTTGTAGCAACCTGTTGGGGCTTGTACTATTTTGGGATGGCCCTTGAGAACTCAGGGCCACCTCCATGCCATGATGAGGCTTTTGAAAGGGACTCTGATAAGGAACAGTATGAGTGAACAATGCCCGGCACATTTCATCCACTTAGTAGATGTCTACAAAAAGACAGCAGTTTTGTTTTGTTTTGTTTTAAGGCAGTTGGGGTTAAGTGACTTGCCCAGAGTCACACAGCTAGTAAGTGTCAAGTGTTTGGTCTGAGGCTGGGTTTGAGCTCAGGTCCTCCTGACTTCAGAGCCGGTGCTCTATCCACTGCACCACCTAGCTGCCCCTTATTTATTTATATATGTGTCTTCACTGTACTCTATATCCCTTAGCACAACATTACATGTGTTAGGTGCTGAGTAAATATTGTTTTGCTAACATCAGTTGCTTAAACCATTCCATGGTAGATAAAATCCTGAAAAGTTTTGTGTAAATGTAAAACATTAGTAAGAGTTTTGTGTTTAAAGGAATCTAGTGATTATTGTCTTATAAAGAAAAAATGAATTCCCTTAAATTAGAACCTGTAACCCTCATTATTTTAGAAACCCAAAAGATTCCCTTTAGACCCATCTTTCACAATGGTGGTATATCCCATTTTAGAATTTTAAAGACCAAACATTGTTTTGGCCTTTACTTTGTTTCTTTGGGATCACAAATAATTTCCCAAGGAGGCAATAATCTTTGTGACTGTATTTTTTTCATAAAAAAATGCTTTGTCCAGGATGCTGAATATCATTTGGCTATAAAAATTTTCTAATGTTATTGTAGAATCAAAATTGATAACATGGGAACATTTACTTAATCAGTTTTATTTTTCCAAAATTCATCTGAGCCTTTAATCCATTTCCAGATGTGATAGAATGATTCTATTTCTTTTTTTTAAAGCAGTTGGGGTTAAGTGACTTGCCCAGGGTCACACAGCTAGTAAGTGTCAAGTGTTTGGTCTGAGACCGGATTTGAACTCAGGTACTCCTGACTTCAGGGCCGGTGTTCTATCCGCTGTGCCACCTAGCTGCCCCAGAATGATTCTATTTCAATGAATGCATATTTGTGAAGTCCCTGAACTAGAGAACCTACCGCATTAACTTTTATTCTGTTAATCTCTTTCTATTTTGTCTTTGTAGTATGCTTAGCACATAGTAGGTATTTAATAATTGCTTATTGAATAGATCAAGGAATAAATGAAAGAATGAATGTTTCTGAAACTAGTAGAAATTTATGTAATTATCATTTGTATTTGTTCAAGAGCAGGTCAAGAAAAGAAGTTACTGTTTGAAAAAGACGTATAGTCTTTTTGCACTACTTCAAAAAATTAGCTAAAATTTTGACATAGTTAAATAGATATGTATATCCTTTTGTGAAATTGTCATTTATTTTACTACTTAGAATCTAATTTTATTTTTTCCTCTCGGTGTAACTTTTACTAAATGTCATACTTATTTTTGGTGGGAGGAGACGCTATAGAAGTTTTTGATGACCTTTGGGCAACAGTCCTCACCTATTAAATGGAAATCACTTTACATAATGTGACTAAAACTCACAGTTTACCAGCGGTATAGATCACAATTTTATCTAACACCTTTGCCTAAAGTGAGACTTTAGCTGCATTTATTGCCAAATATAACTATTTAAATATGTGTGTGTAAAATATTTTGAATTTTTAAGGGATTAAAATAATTATTTTAGCAATTATTTTATTTCATTTATAATGAATGATATGTTTAATCCAAATGGGATTTCGCATGCATTCACTGATGTCTCTGGAAAGACTCAGGCAGCATTTTAAAATGCTTGTCTTTTGTAGTTCCAGCTCAATCAAGATAAAATGAATTTTTCCACACTGAGAAATATCCAAGGCCTATATGCTCCCTTGAAGTTACAGATGGAATTCAAGGCAGTGAAACAGGTAGGTTTGTCTATCTCATGAATGGATTTTCTGCCCTAGTTATTCTGTGAAAAAATTGAGAATTAAGTTATTTCACCTGCAACATGCATTTCTCCCATGAGCGTGCAAGTAGCTTAACTGCTAAAAATATTATACCAGAGTTTTTGATGTTCATTCTCTTTAAGATTCTCTTATGAGTTTCAGGAACTGTGTTGGGCTTTGATATTACAGTTTTCACAATCCTTGCCCTGAAGGAGCTTACATTCTATGAGGGAGACAACCTGTGCACATATAAATATATACAGCAGAGGCACAGGCTGGTGGGGAAGATTAGCAGCTGTCGTGATTAAAAAAGATTTCATGTGGTTCCGGAACTGAGTCAAGGAAGACACCAGGGATTCTAGAAGTGGGCATGAAGAAGGAGCGCATTTCAGGCACCTGGGTACAGCAGGGGCAAAGTTGTAGAGAGGCTTACTTTTTTTCCTAAAGTTTCCACAATTCTATTTCGGCTAAGCTGCTTTCATTTTTTTTCCACTAAAGATCAATATCACTTAGCCTTTTTGGGTGTCCTTTTTCTAAGCTGTAAGTCGATGGGCTTGCCTGATAGATGATCTCTCTGGGCTCTTCCAACTCTACCGATCTATTAAGCTGCCTTTTATCAATCTTGTGTCCTTTTTAGTGACATGAACATCTAAGATAGACATTCTGCATCCCCTTGTCATCTATGTTAGTGTTCCTCACATGACAAAAACTTGTGATTCCGTAGAATTAAAATTATAAAAACCACTATAAAAGCCTCTTATATAGTGTAGGGTTGTCATCTTTCTTATTTTACAGTGCTTTCAATAAAACCAAATATTGCACTGTCACAAGACAGGTAAAAATTTGGGAGGTGGGCTAGGTTAGCACAAAACAATTTAGAGGTTTTATGGCAGTAGTCATTTTTGTAATTACGCCAACCCCATTTTGATATCATGTAATGTTAATATATCTTTGTAGAGCACTTTACAAATTATGCTTACTGCCATTTTGTTTTCTGCCTATTAAACTTTTTTTCTAAGACTAAAGCTATTTCTGTCAATTAAAATTAGCCTCAACTTATCTACGCTTGGCCTGATGTTGTCATTTTCTTAATAGATTATTGACTACAACTTGGATAGCAACAATATAGGTCTGGACTAGGAAATGCTGGTACTCACTAAACTCCAAAATCCTAATTCCCCATTAACTGAGTCACATTTAGAGCTCTCCTTATATGTTAAAACTTGTGTATGCTTTTATCATTTTGCCTATTCTGACATTTCTTTCACAAGTACCTTCTTTGTCAGAATTCCTCTTTCTCAAAGCCTTGATTAGATTATCTCTTGCAGGTCACAAGATTCAAAACATTATTTTTCTTAAGCTCTGTTAATATCCATGTAGGATAACAATAGTACATAATTCTATGGTATGTCCAGGTAGTAACAGTGTGACTTGGCCTTGCCAGCTTCTTTCCTTCTCCATACTTTCCCTTGACACCTTTTGTTGGGAGCATTGTATTTTGAGCCAGGGTATTTCGATTCAGGTTCTAGTACTTCCTTTGTGATTTGGGGCAGGTTACTTAGCTGCTCATTTCTCATTTCTAAAGGGACGATTTTTGAATATGTGACCTTTAAGGTCTCTTCCAATTCTAGATCCTATGATATTTCCCTATCAGAACACTGATTGGGTCACCTCCTTTTTTCATCCATCTCCTAACTCTTTCTTTTTCCTTAGACCTATTTTTACTATGGCCTTTACCTACCGTTATATCCCTTGGTTCCTATTTCCCTGAGCATTTCCACTCCATTCCTGTTTCCCATAACCAAAGCCTGGTGGTCATGTTTTATAAGCAGATCCTACTGGGGTGCCCATAGTTTCTATTACCTTCCATTCTGTACCACTCAGGATACTCCTGGGGAAAGGAAATAGAGTAATATTAAAAGTTGATGTGATCCTAGAGACACCTGGTCAAATGTATTTTTGTATAATGGTTCGTAGTATCTGGGAAAATGTCCTCATAAATTCTGATTAAAGATATTGGTGTGCTAGCAAAGAAAAGAGAAAAATGGTAAAAAATTCATTTTGCTACATTAAAAAGTTAGTCATTTTTTACTAATGGCAAACAGTCCTTTGCTATTTATGCTTAAGTACCATGTTACATACTAACAGTTGTGTAAATCATTAAATATGCCTGTTTAACTTTTGTAAGTCTTAATTACAAACATGAACAAAGTTCATGTACATTCATTCATCCTTCATTGTTATTTGTAGTGGTCTGTTCACAAATTGAATATGAAATTATGTGAAATTTAAAAAAAACCTTGATTTTCTTAGCTCTTTTCTTGTATCTTCGTGTGAAAGACAATTTGGCATATTTTTAGCTTTCGTTTACTTAATAGAATCAAGCGCCAATTATGATGAGTGAGCTGCTGGGAAATACAATGAAAGAGACAGTGCACTTTAAGTGAACATTTTACTTGGTGGGTTGTACGATTTTAAAAATGTATTATAAAGAACATGTAATTGTACAACTAATTTTCCCTTGGATTTGAGTATTTTGTGTTTTTTATTTTTTCTCCCCTTTGTACTATATCTCTTATAGGTCCAGCGTCTTCCATTTCTTCAGAGCTCGAACCTCTCTCTGGATATTTTAAGGGGTAACGATGAGAGTATTGGATTTGAAGATATCCTCAGTGGTATGTAGATTGTCATATATACCAGAGATTGAAAACTTAAATTAACTTTTATTGCTTTTAAATCAATTCAACCTATGTACATTTCCATCATGCACATTTTTGTTATAATCTTACGCATTAAGTTGTATGCTTAGATATATCACATGGTTAGCAACAGTTAACAAATATTAACAAGAAAAATGACATAGGAACAAATAGAGTTAAATTCTTTTTAAAAAGAACAGCTTTTATCCTTTTCTTCTTAGTGATTTTCTGAAATTTTGTAAGCGCGATAGGGTACAGGGAGAAAGTATGCCATTTTTACCAAATTTCCCCAGACAGTGCTATTGTTCTTGCATGTAAATGACTTTTGTCTAAGAACAATATAGTCAGCATCCTCTACTGTTTCGGGGGCCCTGGAGAATAAACAAATATGATGACAGCCATACTACTTCTGTGCACTGTGCCCCCAACAGTTCTGTAGAAACAGACAAACGAATTCTAATTGGATTGCATCAGTTTTGCTTTGCTGCTGATATCCGGTGAGGAAGTGCTGTGGACACAATAGCAGCACAGTTAGGAATCCTCTAAGAATCTTCCCTACAGCAGTTTCTTAAATGCAGGAAAAACTAAGGTCTCAGACTCTTTTAGAACTTCCTATTACAATAAAAGAAGAAAGTTTAGTTCTGATGCTTTCTTTAATTATATAAAAGCACTTACTTAAAACTCCATTGCTTTGTGATTTGAAGTCTGAGTGGTAACTATTAGTGGCCATGTAACTAGGATTTATTTCCATTAGTCCAATTACTGTATGAACCATGTAAGTTATAATGAATAATTTATAGGAAACAAATGTTAAGTTTTTCTATGATGTGTTTTAAATGGGGATGGACACAATGATTACCCAGGGTCACTGAAGTCCTACTTCAGTGCTTTTGTATGGAGGTAACCCCAGTTCTTGAAGACTTCTTACAGTATTATAATGTGGTAGGAGTGTTGGGCTGAAAGTCAGAAGACTTGGGCTTAAAATTCACTTCTTTTGCTCACTAGATGTGTGAATTTGAGTAAGTTCTCCAGACTTTATTGTCCACATGAAGGAGTTGGAAAGTGCCACATTTTAGTCAGGAGACCTGGGTTCAAGTCTTGGCTCTGTGCCATCTTGGACAAATCACCCTCTCTAAGACTTTATTTTCCTCATCTATAAGATGAGGGTGCTGGATTAGTTGACCTCTATGATGTCAATTCTGACATTCAGGGAGAGTTCAGCTTCTGGCCTCTGTGGAGTGTCTTACGTAGAAGACACTGTCAGAGTGAGTAGTGGTCAGTGTCTAAGTAAGAGTTAATATGAGGAAGTTGGGAAAGTACTTAGTTCATGCATGAATGGTTTTTTTGGTTCTTTTGTGAGGCTACATTAATTTTTTTCATTGTTTTTTAGATCCATCACAAAGTGAAATAATGGGAGAACCACACATGATGGTGGAATACAAACTTGGTTTACTGTGAGAGGAATATGTTGCTAATGAAAATAGAGAAACAGCATCCAGTTTATTATAATTGTCGTTTTATTATGTTTTGATGTGTATAACATTAAGAGTACTGCTATTTACTGTTCTTATGGCTAATATGTACTGTCACTAATTTGAATTTGTTTGGGTCCTTGTACTATTAATGTAACCATATTATTTTGAGGAATGAATATTATAAAGTGAGGCAGTAAGAAAAACTGAACCTTAGTTCTTAACTGTGAAGAACAAATTTTTGTTGTATGTTTAGAGGCATCATCATAAGGGCATAGAACAGGTGTTCTAATTAATCTCATTTTGGTGTATCCTCTTTTTAGCATTGACACCCAACTGATTTGAACATAGGCCATACCCTTAAAATAAAATCTCTTAGAGGAAAAAATACCTTTTTGGAGACAAAGAGCCCTCCAACTCCGTAACTTTAACAGGCTTTGCTTAGCAGAGGAAGAGACCAATACTGCTCTTCTCTTTTGCTACATTTCTCGTAATATAATTGCCAAATGCAAAGCTAACCTGAGCTGAATTGCAGTTCCTATTTGAATTAGTACGTAAGTTAAAAAATTTCAGCCCAAAATATTTTCACTAGCTTTTACCATATTAACACAATATATAAAAGTAGGCAGGGCTCCTTGGTTGCAAACTCATCAGCGTTTCCTGGCTATGCTAGAAAAGAGCTACCTTAAGGTTTACTTTACCCTCAAGTATTTTGCCCTAGTGCTGGCAGTTACACCTCCTGGCCAGTAGAGGGTACTGCCTAGTGAGCTTACCGTTAAAAGAAAATGAAATTAATGAATTGTCCCTGTAGCATGCCAATTGCATAACAAAATGAGACCAGGGAAACAGATTTTGTGCATTAAAAAAAATTAACAGGATACAACATTAAGTAATCTAATTTCTAATTGGAAGAAAGATTAGGGACTTTCCAAATTGGGAGGAGAGCAAAAAGGTCCAATTCTTTGAAATCAGAAAAAGAGGTGTCCCAATCCCCTAAACATGTGTTCCTGGGGTGGGCATCCTGTGGCCTTGAGGTCACCTGTGGCCTTCTTGGTCCTTGGGTCTGGCCTTTTGACTAAGTCCAAGTTTTACAGAACAAATCCTTTTATTAAGGGATTTGTTCTGTGAAGTTTGGATTCAGTCAGAGGGCTGCACTTCAGAACCAAGAAGGCCACAGGTTCCCCACCCCTGCATTCAATCAAAGGAATGTGAAAATAGTAACTGACTAGACAAGGGCCGATTTTCAGATAAGATATGGATTGCTTAAGATGTAATTGTGAGAAAACTCCCTGCATCAGTCTTTGGATTTGACTGAGTCTCTGGTAACCTAGGTCCTTAATTAAAATTCCATCAAGCAACAGGTAGAAGTGGTCCAGCTTCCCAGCCACTCAGGGCGAGGTCCAAACAATGCAATAAAGTTTTCTCACGATTCCCATCCTAAGTTTTCTCACAGGACAGAAATTGGACTAGACCCATAATTGAATAGAAAGGGAACTGAACTAGATCCAGAATTGAGTCATAAGATGGAGTCAGTATAGTTCACTCAATTCCCACATTATTAGACACATATGTGAGCTGCCGTTGTCCAATCTAGGACTTCCCTTGTCTCTGTTTTGCTTTTGTAAGATGCATCCAGATTCAAGTTATTTTACAAAAAATAAATTGTACTGTATGGTTAAAATCTGGGAAAAAAGGAAAATCCACAATAAAAAATACCAAATTACCTGTAAAATCTGAGTCTTTTTATTTTAAACCCTGTGGGGGTGTAGGAGAAAGTCAATTACATTTCAAGAAAGAATCATTTGGAAACTAACAACAAAGATGGGATAGAACTTGCGGATCCCATAGTTTTAACAGTGCTAGGTAAGAAGCAAGATGCCAGTAGCAGTTTTTCCACTCCTCAGGGGTGTCTTGTTAACAGTTCCTTAAGTCTTATCGTTGTCACTCTCCTGAAGGCTTTTCATTCTGTATTGATCTCCTTTAAGAAACACTTTGTTCCACTGATTTTTGTGCCTGGTGTCTGTAGTTTTTACTGGAATCACAAACTCCAAAATATCTGCAGAAATATGTGCTTTAAATATGATAAAATAAGACTTGGAGTTGGAAGACCCAAGTTCAGATTCTGCCTCAGACACTTTACTAGCTAATGTGTTCAATCTACGCAGTCCTTAGGTAAATCACTTAATCTCTACTTGCCTTAGTTTTCTCATCTGCAAAATGGGGATAATAGCACTTCCCTCCTAGGGTTGTTGTGAGGATCAAATGAGATAATGTGTATATGTATAATGGCAAATCTTAAAAGTACATTTATTATTAGCTATATCATTATGATTATTAAGTAATTCTATCTTTAAGCCTGCAAAACTTGGTGGTGTCACCTCATTTATCTTATGCCTATTCCTGTTAAAGCCTATGAAAACTTTTTCAGCAAAGTAGTGACCATGACCATTGCTCTGTACAGTTCTTACATAATTCAAAACTTTCAAAAATTCATAATACCATTTGCAAAGTAAATGAGAAGTGAAGTGGATTTGCTACTTTGTAGGGAATTTGACATTTATCATGGACCAAAAGCATAGAACTAATAGTATTAAAAAGGTAGGCCAAGATGATAGAAAAGGGCATGTTTGGAAGGTAGTCTATATCTGCATTTTTAACTCTGGATTTCTCAGGAAGCTGTAATTGAATCCACCAGACGATTATATTACTTAGAACATTGAGGTGGGTTGATTCAATTCAGTAGCTGGATTACGTCAGTCAGCATTTTCTAGACTGTTAATTTACATCAGACAAAATGAATTGCTTTCACTCTTGTCTGATTTGAATCTGACAGAATCAGTACTTATATTCGGAGTTTGGTCTCCAATTCGGATTCTTGTAGCTAGGCAGCTAGGGGCAGAGATATTGTTTGTTCCTGGTATAAGTTGTGCAGTCTGCCTAAGTTTCCTCACCTGCAAAACAGATAATAATAGCACTCACCTCCCACGGTTAAAGCATTTTGCAAATCCTAGTGTTTATAAATGCTTAGCTACTATTACTGTAACTGCTTTGATTATAATTTCAATTAGCAATAAACTGTCTAGCCTTTCTTTAATACCTTTTAAGTCTGAGTATATACTGAGTAGAGTTTAGATATGATTCTAATAGACACTATCTTTTTGTTTTTTTATTAATTTATTTTGATTTATCAACAATCACTTCCATATGCTTTTGAGTTGAAAATTTTTCTCCTCCTTCCTCCCCCCCACCCTCCCCAAAACGGTGCACAATCTGATGTAGGCTTTACATTTACATACCCATTAAACATATTTTCACATTAGTGAAGTTGTAAGTAAAAATTAAAACCAATAGGAGGAACCATCAGAAAGATGAAACAAAACTCAACAGAAGGTAAAAGTAAGTGATAGCGATTCGACTTCCATAGTTCTTTCTTTGGATGTGGACAGCATTTTCCATCCTGAGGCCTCTGGAGATGTCTTAGATCCTTCTAATGCTGAGAAGGGTTCAGTTTAACCATCTTAGTCATTGCATAACGTGGCTGTTATTGTGTACAAAGTCCTCTTGGTTCTGATCACTTCACTCAGCATCAGACCATATAAGTCTTTCCAGGTTTTTCTGAAGTCAGACTGTTCATCATTTCTTATAGCACAATAGTACTCTATTGACATTCATATACCACAACTTGCTCAGCCGTTCCCCAGTTGATGGGCATCCTCTTAATTTCCAATTAATAGACACTATCATTGAGTTATTTGTTGCCGCTTTCAAGTTTGGAGACGTTTTTAAGAACATCATTTTCAGCCCATTTAAGGTGAAAAATAAAACCTTCCCCTTCCCCCTCATGTAAAGTTTGGTTGCAGATCATTTTTCCTCTTGGATTTATTACAAGAACCAGTGGATGTGCTTTGTCAGCTGCACCTTGTCCTTTTTCTTTTGAGGGTCATGACCTCATGGAATTAGGACGAGGAGATACATTGTTCAACTGTGACAAAAATCACAGTTTCCTAGGTCATGGAGAGGCCATGGCTTCATTGTGGCAGAGTGGAAGTCAGGTTTAATCTCATTTAAGTTTAGCTAGTATTATTTATGTTCAGAACAGTGAAACTGCAAGTTGATTTCACACACTGGACATCTTCTATGAGGAAAGTTCACTATGTGATATATTACCAGTGTGGTTATTATTATATAACTGTGACAATGACAGGTACAAATGCATGGCCTAATTGTTACTGTGTGGTTATAATGTGGTAAGTCCTATACAGCATAGTAAATATCACTAAAGTAAGGTGCTGTCCCCATGGATTACTCTTTGGGGTATCCCAAAAGTCTCAGTGAAGTTTCAAGCTTCACTAACTACAGAAGTATACATGCTACAAACTTACAAAAAACATCAGCTGAAAATTTAATTTTATTTAAATTAATTTTATTAACATTTTACTAATTAATAAAATCAATTTTATTTATTTTAATGTTAATAATTAAATATTAAATTAATATTTAAATTTCTTTTACATTTAGTTTTGTAGATTTTTAATAATTTAATTTTAACAAGACAATTCATCCTGTCATGCATTACATGTCGGACAGTTTATGGATGACACTTTCTCAGACCTTGGATTGGTAACGGAGGTACTCTTGATTATCCATTTCAATCATTTGAGACTCTTAGGCGATCACGTCAAAACTATCACAAAAGTATCCAAACTTTCTCTCATGATCTTAAGCCTGGGATTTCAAACGCAATCCTTTCAGTCCCTGAGCAGCAGTGGATGGAAGTTTTTACAAAGTTCAAAAATAGACAAAGACAGTGATTACGTTGGATTCATTAAGAAACTTGCCAATGTTTTAAATTTTTTTACCTTTCAAATGTTTAAGTTTGTAGCATTTATATTTCTGATACTTAAAGCTTAAAAACAGCACTAAGACTTGGGACAGCCTCTTCCAATATTTATTAAGTGCTTACTCTGATCTTTGTTTATATAATTAAAATTATAGGGATTATATAGTGTGAACATTTCTTGCAGAAAAGAGTAGCATATAATCATACAATACTTCATATTTTTCAATTTAATTTTTCAAAAGATTTTAAAAATTGATTGTATAAGCCCATATTTCCATTTTCAAACCATCTCCATATACACAATTGGGAGTATTATCAAGATTAACAGAAACCAGAAAATTAAAAAAAAAACAAAACCATAGTGCTCAGGTGGCTTGCCTTTTGGAGGTTCATAATTTTGGCCATAACCAAATTTGAGTTAGCCATGACACAATGATAGCTAATTTTAGGGGTGATTCTATTCCACATTGTGGTAACTGCCAATAGAGACAATTCAATAAACATTTGTTAAGCACTTACTAAGTGCAATGTATCATACCAGGTACTAGGTGCTGCTATGTTATATTTATTATTTTATTATTTCCATTAGTTATTGATCTAAACATCCCTGACAGGCAGATCAGTATTGCCTCACAAGCTACATAGATGAAAAGCCCAAGGTACAAAGATGACATGTATTTTGTTCGAGAGGTAAACACTGACATCACAGGATTGGAGTTCACAGACTGGGGTTTCACTAGCTTCCCTGGGCCGTTGTGTTTTACATCCCTTTTTAGACATCAAAAGAAAAGGAAAAAAAAGGAAATAGCTCATTGAAAAATTCCATCTCTGTATTGGTATTAACGTGTCATTTTAAGCATCACTCCAATACTAAGTGCTCAATGTATATAGATAGCGTCCTACCAAAGTTAGTGCAAAAAGAAAACATGATCCCTGATTGATAGGGGCTTATTTTCTAGTTAGCAGTGAGTTAGTTAACAGTGTGGTAGAGAACCATGTGCTCCATCGCTTCATTTATCGTACAGGTAGAGCATATGACAATGCTAATGAATAAGGAAAACATCATAATGGCTCAGTTGACTACGCTGTCTTCCCTAGATTCTTCTTGTATAAGAAGCTCATGGTGTTCTTCATCCCAGCTAGTACACATTATAACACTGCAAAAAACAAACAAATAAATAAATAGATGAATAAATAAAATGTTTTCAAACAGATAAAGCAATTTACTGAGTCTATCAGTAATTTTCATTCCGCCTATCCTAGCCAACAGTCTTCTTATCAAATTATGCAGTAAAGAGGCATACACAGTGTCATTTTGAATAAAATGCTGTTAACTGCCTTGGAGGAAAGTGAAAGAAGGCTCATGTATGAATTAAGACGGAGGGAAGAAAGGTGGTGTAGTGGACAGAACACAAGACTTGGAGTTAGGAGGATCTAGATTCAAATCCCACCACATTGAGTGACTTAATATCCCTGTGAGCCTAGGGCTTAGTTTCCTCATCTGCAAAATGCAGTGGGTGGGCTTGACTTCTAAGATCCTTTCAGGCTCCAAATCTAAAATCCAGTGTCCTGTGCTCCTCTGTTTCTTTACCTGTCTCCTTATAGCCTCAGCAGGAAACCACAGCATGGAAGAACAAGAGAACCATGGTTTGACAGAAGAGCTGGTTCAGCTTTATCTTCCATCTGAGACTAGGTCTCTAAAACTTTTGAGATGCTTTGAAGCCACTTGTTTGACTGTTGTCAGCAGCCAAAGGGGCTGGTAATAGTCTTAATTTAATAAGCACATTTTAGCTTTGTAGGGATAAAAAGATTTCAGGAAACCTTTTCATTGAACTCATCTTTAGGTAAGACTCTACATGGGCTGTTGATACACATGGCTTCTATATATATCATGTATTTAAAGATTTTCAACATAATATGGAAATGTTTTATATGACTGTACATGTCAAATCTATCAAATTGCTTGCCTTCGCAATGAGGAGAGAGGGGAGAAAGAAAGGGAGAGAATTTGGAACTCAAAATTTTCAAAAAGGAATGTTAAAAATTTTTGTTTACATGTAATTGAGAAAAAAATAAAAATTATATATAAAAAAACATAAAATGCAATTGGGAAATGTTTAACAAAATAAAAACATAGTACATCAGAAAAAGAATAAAGATTTCCAATAAGAATTGTCTTCCATTTCACTGATTTTATTTTATTATATATTTTATTAGTTTAGATAATTAATAATTAATTATATTATAGATTTGTATATAATTATATATTTAATTTATTCATAAGTTTGTAATAAATATGATAATATATAAGAATCAATCATATGTATATAGAAATGTATAATTATAAATATATAATAATCTCAATAAATAATAAACTTATAAATTATTGGATTTCTATATAATTATATATTAATAAATAATAATTTTATTATTTATCATTTTTTATTAAAGCAATGTAATATCTCAATTGGGTGGCTGGGTGGCACAATGGATAGAGTGCTAGACCTAGAGTCAGGAAGACCTAAGTTCAAATCTAGCCTCAGACACTTAGCTGTGTGACCCTAGGCAAGTCATTTAACTCTGAGTTTCCTCATCTGTAAAATGAGATGAAGAAGGAAATGTCAAACCATTCCAGCATCTTTGCCAAGAAAACTCCAAATGGGTTCAAGAAGAGTCTGAAACAACTAAATAACATCTCAATAGTCAAGATGTCCGGAGCATGGGCTTTTTGTTTGCACACATCTGATAAACCAGAAGACAACAAGCATTTTGCCTGTCCCTCTAACAACCATGGCACCTCAGTACTTAGGGAAAAGGAAATAAAGACCTAGAACATGATTCTAACTGTTGCCCCACCCCATGTATATTTCTGCTACCCTATCCACCATTCAATTCCCTGAACACAGTATGACAAATATGCATATATACATACATATATACACACATACATATATTTGCATATATAATACATATCTATAGATCTACAGATATTTATGCTTATATTTACTAGTATGGTAGTGATGTTATGTTTATTTTAAGCTATATTGAATAGCAATAATACTATATAAATAGTTCCTCCTTTTCTAGCTGTCAGTTACCCAGATGACAAATGATTTGGAGTATCTGGAAAACAAAAGGAAATGTGAATCTATTTTTACGTTCATTCTTCTAATCTTGATTCTTCAACACTTTCTAATACTATTGGATTTATGTATGCATGGCATAGCAGATAAGGCACTGGATCTGGAGTTAGGAAGATCTGATCTTCAAATCCCACCTCCAACACTTACTAGCTGTGTGACAATGGGTGAGTCCCTTAACTGCTATGTACTTCAGTTTCCTCATATGTAAGTCGAGGGGATTAGAATCAATAGTCTTCCAGCTCTAAACCTATGAATTCTTTTCTTTTTATATTCAAATACAAAGATAGAGTCACATAGGAATCCGCTAGTACTTGATTGTGAATGACAGCTCTGGTCTCCTGATAGCCTGTGCAGTGAACTACCTGGTTTTATAAATTTAGCCAAGAATACAGGTTGAATTCAGGTTTAGGGGATATTATCTGAAAGAAATTATTTTCTATGAAATCAGTATCCTTCTGAATAGCAGAATGTCCAAACTGGAAGTAAAGTTCCAACCTCCTTATTTCACAGATGAGAAATTGAGGTGATGACAGCTTAAAAGATTCGTCAAAAGCTGAACAGGTATTAAAGTGATTTCCTGTGGTTTTAAAATACATTTCTATCCTCATGTTCTAATCAAATAATTTTTACTGTATTTAAGGAGATAATAATACCTTTATGTTCCCCTATTAATCACTATTTTTTCTTTGTACTATTATCTGTGACCATGTATGCCTTCATCTTTCCTCTTCCACTCTAAAACTGACAAATTTTGTTAAGGCTAAAAGTTCTTGAGAAGAGTACATTGTAATGTACAACTTGTGCAAATTATGTAAGCTAGGTCAAGAGATTTTCACATTCTTATGCTGACTTTCATATTCTTAAGTTAAACAATTTTTAAATATTGACATACCATAGACTGATAATTGGGATTAATAAAAGGCCAGCTGAGAGCATAAAAGTGAATCCCGAAAACCAAGCAACAGTGGCTGAATAAATGCCATTAAAGGCAGAAATTGCAGTAACTCCAACCAGCGTCTCTAAGAAAGCAATACAAGCAAACAAGGTACCTGCGGGAAAAACAAATGATTGAATTGAAAGAATAGTACTCAGTGGGGTGAAATTGTTCAGAAAGGGATCAGAAAATATCTGGTCCCATTACCTACCTACTGAATTCCTTGATTTTAGAACCTTTTAGATCAGGGGTGGGAAACCTGCCTCCTCAATCAAGGCTACAAGTTGCAGGTTCCCCACCCGTTTTAGATCATTAAAGTCTCATGAATGTTGCTATGATGCTTTTCACTAAAGTGGGATTTAATACAAGGCAGGTTTATCTTTGAAAGTCATGTAGGCATGATGAGTTATTAAAATAACCAAAATAAGACATAAATTTTGGTCTTAACTCTTTCGTTTAAACAGCTGTTTTGCAAAATTATAAAATTAGTGGTTTATTTTTCTTTGCTCCCTCAGCCCTACCTGAGATCTTTATCCATATCCCCTGCCCCCACCCTCCAAAGCACCGATCCTGAATCCCATTTCTACCAGGTATTAAATGATAAAGCTAATGTGGCTCTATTAAAATATTATTCCATCGATAGACAGCAAAATCCTAGTGGTCCCAAAAGGAGATTTCCCCTTCTGAAGTATCTGCTTTAAGGATTAAGTGTCTAGAAAGGAAAACAAAAAAAACAGACAAAAATGAATAAAAACTGCAACTATTGCCATAACAAACTCTCTTTTCCCATCAATACCAGCAAAGCTATCACATTTGGATCCTAACTTCTCAACACTTTCAGTGTGCTACAGTGAAGAAGTAGAAATGTCATTAAATAAAACAAAGATAGACACTAGACCAAGCATGTACAGAGGAGACCCATGATGGAGGCACCACAGTTATAAAAAACGTTGAGTGATCAAGTCTCAAAGTATCTGAAAGGGTGGTACATACCAAAGGACTGAAAATAGTTTCAGACCTTCTTGCCCTTCCCCCCATAAAAGGTAATTGAGGAAATAAAAATATGCCTACTTTCCTATCTCTACGAATATTTATGAGATTGATCTACCCATGCCTTAAGGTAGTTCTTGAAGATAAGACTAAGAAATAGACTTTTTCAAATGATATTCTACAGCAGCCCACATCTTTACAGTCACACAATTGGCTGAAAGGTATAAAGAACACAACACCCTCCTGGGCTTTTGTTTGTTGACTATTCTAAAAGAATAAAATGTTCATTATAGATTCTTCCCCAACAAGGTGTCTCCCACTCATTTGCTTGGTTATAATAAGCAAGGCTTAGCTTGCCAAAGGTGCTTGTCATGCTCATGAATTCAATCCAGTGCAAATTACACCATCCCTATAGATGGTGAGGACCTAGATGATCCCATTGTGGCCAATTATTTAATGCCCCAGAACACTGCAGAGTCTCCTAAGTGGAATACATACTAGCTCAAAAAAAGCTTACCCTTTACCCACATGGGAAAAGAATAAGTCAATGAAGAATGCCTATTGTCTAATATGCAGTTGTATGGAAAACCCATGAGCTCACCCACCAATACACATATCTTGGACAGACATTATGGATGAACAATCAACTGGGCCCAAAATTGAACAGAACATAGAAAACAGGTGGAAATGCCTTTAGGAAATTGCACAACGTTTTTAATAACCACCAAAGTTCTCCAGTAGAGCTGCAAATCATGGGACACAACAGTTCTCCAAAGAATAAACTGAGGGGCATATTAGTTCTAAGTAGGCTACAATATGTTACCAACAAAGAGTAGAAAGGAAACGTTTGGTTTTTATTAGACTGGGTCTCCCTGCCTCATACTGCCTAGAAGTACAATGACTATTCACAGGCTCAATCCCAGTCAGATCATCACAGGACAGCTGAACTGGGCTGGTTTGCCTCTCTTTAGGCAATCTGGTGGTCCCCGCTTTTGTGGGCTCATCATATTAATGCTGAACTTTGTTTGGATACCTGATTGGCTTAGCCTGCTGCAGCTCAGAACTGTTGAGCTCAACTGACCTGCCAGCCTTAGCCTCCCCACTCACAGGGCTGACATTTTAAAGGAAGTCATCAGGGACACTTTTGACTGGAAAAGATGAGCCAGTCATGGATTGAGAATATGGGATAAGCAATAGACAGCCCATGTACTCCACTGGCATCTCATACAATGTCAAGAGAACCAGAAGACCCCCTAGCATGATGGTGGAGCACTGTGGCTGATTTAGGTGGGGAAGAGTTGCACAACAGAAGGTATGGATAGGTAGCAATCTGTACCATTGAAGAAAGCACTCACATCAATGATAAGGTACTAGGTGGTAAAGTGGATACAGCACCCAGGCTGGAGTCAGGGTTGGGTTCAAATATGACCTCAGATACTTTCTAGCTGTATAAGCCTACACAGGTCACTTAACTTCTGTTTACCTCAGTTTTCTCATCTGTAAAATGGGGATAATAACACCCCCCCACCCCGAGTTGTTGTGAGGATCAAATGAAATAATTGTTAAGCACTTAGTGCCTGGCATATGGTAAGCTCTATACAGATGTTAGCTATTATAACAATTATTATTATTAATGAGATCACAGATCCCTCAAAATAACAAGCAGTTTCTTTTAGGGCAGGAAGGCATAGAGCATAGTCCCAGTGACAGACTGAGTTTTGTGTCCAAAGGATAAGCCTAAAAGTGAAGAGGCTCATCATGAGCCATGAAACAAAGAAAAAAAAATCCAAATAATTTAAGCGTGTAGTAAAAGTTGTTGTTGTTCAGTCATGTCTGACTCTTTGTGACCTCATTTGAGGTTTTCTTGGCAGATACTAGAGTGGCTTGCCCTTTCCTTCTCCAGCTCATCTTACAGATGAGGAAACTGAGGCAAACAGCATTAAATGACTTGCCCAGGATCACACAGCTAGTAAGTATATGAGGCCAGATTTAAACTCAGGAAGATGTCTTCCTGACTCAGCACTCTATCCATTGCGCTGCCTACCTGCCCTTACGGTAAAAGTTGATGCTGAATAAATGATTGCTGGATTAGATCATTCCCAAAATAAATCCATTCCATAATGCCACATTTCATAAGGCATTGGAAAAAAAAAACATCTCTCAGATGCCAACCTATATAGCGTCAAATATACAGCAAATTAGTTTAAAATGATAATTTAAAAAGTTATCCCTAGGAAGTCAAGTCAAATCAACAAAGGTTTTTGAAGACCTTAGTAATGCCAGTGGAAAATACTAGCTACTTATTCAGTATACTCCAATTATCCTATTAAAAGCTGACAATTTCCCAGTAAACTGTTAAAGTGGCAGGGGAGGGAAGGGTCATCTTTAGACTGTCATGGGACCTCTTCTCTTTTCTCTTTATGCTGTCTGGCTTGGTGATCTTATCAGCTCCCATGAGTTCAGTTATTATCTCTGTCCGGATGATTTCCAGATACATCTAGTTCTTGTATTTGTACATGTATATGTAACATGTAGAAAACAGAATTCATCTTTCTCCTGAAACGTTCCTTTCTTCTAAATTTCCCCGTTACTCTTGAAGCTGTCACCCTTCCCCCAGTCACTCAGATTCACAATATTACTGTCATCCTTGAAAAGGATGTAGCTTATGTGTACCTAGTTATTTACATGTTGTCTTCCCCATTAGAATGTGATCCCCTTGAGGGCAGAGACAATTTTTGTCTTTCTTTGTATCCCAGTACTCAGCACAGTGCCTGGCACATAGTAGGTGCTTAATAAATGCTTATTGACTAACAGCAAAAACAAAACTGGAGCAGATCCATGTAGATTTCTTGGTAGAAGGAGACAAAAGCCTTTTTAAGACATTCAATGTCTCATAAAATGTGAGTTAATTCCTGTTTACCAATGGCCTTTATGTGTCATCCAAGTTATTTATACCTACCAAGGTAGATTTAAAGAAGTATGAAAAAAAAACAGAATAAGAACCTTTCTTTATTGTGTCTTGACAGTTTTTACAAATGTAAAGTTAAATTCCATATTTAAGAGGCAGCTAGATAGATGGATAGAGTGGATAGAGTGCTGGGCCTGGAGTCAGGAAGACCTGAATTCAAATTTGGCCTCAGACACTTAGTAGCTATGTGACACCCCCCCCCCCCAGCAAGTCACTTAACCTCTGTTTGCCTTAAACCCTTGGCACAGGAAGTGGCAAATCACTCCAGTATCATTACAAAGAAAATCTCATGGACAGTATGGTCCATGGGGTCACGAAGAGCTGGACACAACTGAACAACAACATGTTTTCTGTGGCTCCCATTTTTAAGTGAGAGATTTATTCTAATGAGGACCTATGAATGCATTATTCATTGCACCTACTTGGTAAAGGTACTCAGGGTTATTTCTACATAGTTAACAGAAGTAGTATGGTGTATAGCAAGAATGCTGGACTTAGGAGGCAGGATGACCTGCTGGGGATCAACCCTTATTTCTGACATTTGTTAGCTGTGTGACCATGGGCAAATCACTGATCCTCTCTGAGACTTAGTTTCTTCATCTGTAAAATGTGGACAATAATACCTATAGTACCTAACCTACAGGGTTTACATTAGATAATGTAAATAAATTAATTGGCAAACCTTTAAGTGCTGTGTAAATGTCAGGTGCAACTAGATGGCACTGTGTTTAGAAAGCCAGGACTGGAGACAAGAAGACCTGAGTTTAAATCCTGTCTCAGACACTTACTAAATGGGTGACCCTGGGCAAGTCACAACCTTGTTTGCCTCAGTTTTCTCATTGGTAAAATGAGCTAGAGAAGGAAATGGCAAACCTCTCCAGTATCTTTGCCAAGAAAACCCCAGAAGAGGTCACAGAGAGTCAGACACAACTGAAATGACTGAACAACAAAAATGTCAGGTATTATTAATTCTCAGTGCAATTCAAAAACCCAGTTAGTGTATACATATGAATGCTAAATCTAGGACATATAAAGTCACACAATCAGATCTTCCTAACTCTAGGCCATGTTCCATCTATCTGTCTCTACAAGCAATTATAAGAATTTAAAGGGATCAGAGGATTTTTTTTAAAGCTTGCCACCCAAGAACGAGTTGACAGGGGAGATTCTGGTAGAATTTTCCTAGATTATTCACAAAGCCATATTAACACCTTTTTTTAAACCAGACTGATAATTTAATCAATTCATAGAGCTCCCTCCACTCCCGTAGGTCAGTACAGTCCACCTTAGAGAGCTGCTTGGGGAAGTGATTTGTCCACTGGGGTCATACAGCTAGTAGATGTCAAAGGCAGGACATGGATACAGATTCTCCTGACTCAAAGCCAAGTTCCTATCCACTATATCACACTGTTTGCCATATATACATAGAATATTGAAGTTAAAAATATCAGTTGTAGATTTTAAACCCCAGCCCAGTAAATGAGATACGGTAGGTTGACTTCTATAGGGGATGGAGAACTGGTCTTAGAGTCACGGAGACCTGGGGTCAAGTGCCCCCTCAGACACATGCAATAGCATGTGTAGGAGGGCTCTGGACAAATCACTTTACCTCTGAGTATCCCATAAACTGTAGGGCAGTTGAGGAACTGCTCTGGTAAAGGGAGTTTTTCACGGAGAGTTGTCTCAACCAGTGAAATTACAGGTCCATCTCTTCCCTCCTCATCCTTCCCCTAATGGATACTCTCATACTTCTTCTTAATACAGTTTCCCACTTGATTAAAATGTAGAAAACAAACAAAACCCTAAAAGCTGTAGGGCACAATGAGGAAGTATAAATTGATCCTTTGTGATCTGGAATTCCAGATCTCTTAACAGTAAGAACAATCTGTCTCTTTCATATATTAAACTCACCTTGTTCAGTAGAGGGAACCACTTTTGATAACATGGACCGAAGAACAGACAAGGGCATGAAGGTGAAGAGGAAAGGGATCCTGACTGGGGGAAAAAAATCATTAAAAGTCATTTATTTATTAAGGAAACTGATCAATGTTTAACTAAATACCAAACCAAACCAAACTCTTATTCCCTTCCTCTTCCAAAAGCATCTCATTCTGCAGACCTTAAGGCCCAAACCGACTTGGCCAATTGTAAATCTCTGGTGAATAATTAAAAACAAACTTCCCTCTCCCACCCCACCACCTGTACCAGATGGTTTATTTCAGAGCTGTTATCCCATTGAAATCAATGTACTTTAAGCTTAAGAATCAATCAATAAGCATCTATTAAGGACCTCTCATGTGCCCAGCATCATGCTTGTTAGTCTGGTTTGAAAAAAAAAATAAGCCACTTGTTACTTTCATGATAAAATAAACAATCTGGTCCAACCCCTTATGGGACAGATGAGGGACCTCAGGATCAGGGAAGCTAGGTAACTTGCCCAAGGTCATACAGATAATGAGCAGCAGAGAAAGCTGTGATTTGAATGCAGGTCCACTGACTCCAAATCTTGGGCTCTTTCTACTGCACCAGTTTACTTTCTAATCATTAATATGTTAAGCATCCAGTGTAACATGTATACATATTGGTGCAACCACATACTTGTCCTTATGTACAGTGATTCCAGAAAATTTAAAATACAGTTTTTTCAAATCAGAGGAAAAAGTATAGTGCTGGCACATAGTAGGTGCTTACATATTTGTTGATTAATTGATTTTTAGGCATAAGGCATATAGCGGTTTAGTTTTGGTTCTGCAAAGCACTGGAACAGAAATTTTGGAATAAATTCTTATTGGCATGGACTGGTCTACAAGGATTGTTTATTTTAATATACACTAATAGTTCCAAAACAAGGATTCTTGAAAGCTTGAGGCCTCAATGTAAATCAAGATTAGTTCATATATTTAAATTCTTTCAGTTAATCCTTTTTTAGCTGTTCAATTGATGATAAATTGAGTGCAATCTTTTCTTTCTTAAATTTTGGGTTAGCATAAGCCTTCCTCAGCTAATAGATTCATTCATCAATCTACTGATAATTTGCCTTGTTATTTGTTGAGGTCTTATTTCATTTAAAGAACAAGACAATTTGCCTCTCCTTTTGAGTTTTGATTCCTAGGAGCCATTGGCATTTTCAATCCCATCCATACTATACAGATAGTGGGCATGTTATAATAAAAGTTTTCCCTTTCAGTGTGGTTGCATCAAAGGACTGAGTTTTTAACTCACCTAACAACATCATCAGTGTTGTTCTGGCAAATACAGTCAGTGCCATCCCTCCAGCTGTGGTAAAAATTCCAATGAAGACGATGTAAACATCTTTAAGACAGTAAGAAAAAATCCATATCCCTAGAAAACTAGTCAAGAAAGATATGCTTGCTAAGGATGAACCATATCCTATGAAGACTTCATTCCAGCAGAGAGGCGAATTCAGTTCATAAAGGATAAATATAGGAGATGAACCAATTACTACAAAGAAATAAGTAATCATCGTAAAAAGTAGCAAACAGAGCAAAGTCCTTTGTTTGCTAGTAACATTTTTAAAAAGCATATAAGCTCTCAAAAATGATTTTTTAAAGTTTGTACTACATGACATGGAAGAATCCTGAGATGAAGATACACTAACTGAGTCCTCAAGAAAAAATACAATATATATCAAGTTAACGGTTAGAGCCAATGAAGTAATAAAATATGACCACACAAAGCCAAGTTCTTTGATGAAGTAGCCAGAAGACAATCCTGTTAATCCAGTAACAAGTCCAAGTATTAAGTCAACGATGGCTATCCGTATAGTTTTCTGTTTCTCTTCTTTACATTGATCAACTATGTAAGCAAAGCATCCTCCCAGAAAGGTTGTTGAATTGCCACAAAATGCACTGATTAAAGTGGATGCTATCAGAAGTTGGATAGGTAAGCCCAAATATGAGAGCAAACAAAGCCAAATGTTGCTTGCAAGAGCACTTATAGAAGACAAAACCAGAGGCCCTTTTCGTCCTTTTTGATCGCTCCTGGATAAAAGAATGAAGGTAACTACAATTCCAGGAATCAATGCACTTAAGTCCATCTGAAGACTAAAAAGAGAGGTTTTTTTTTGAACTTCCTACAAAGAAGAAAAAAAGAAATCAATATAATTATGTAATCAATCAATATTATTAGTATACTTTGAAACTTAAAAAGGATTCACAATTTCATCCCCTTGGACTAATGCAAATGACACCCTCTTAGTCGATAATCTGATGGATTTCAATGACCAAAAAACTCATCATCTAGTGGCCAACCCCTGATGGTGAGCCTTATGAATCTGGTGAGTCTGGGCCTCAGATCACGGACATCACAGGGCCAGGATGTGAACCCTTTCCAAAACGGTATGCCCTCAGTCAAAAAAGCAATCTGTCAAAAGCATTTATTAATTGCTTACTGTGTGTTGGGTACTGTGCTGAGTGTAAGGAATGCAAAGAAAGTTAAAAAAAAAATTCTTGCCCTCAAGGAGCTTCCATTCTATAGGGAGAGATAATATATACAAATAACTAGGTACATGCAAGATATGTAAAGAGTAGTTAGAAAGTAATCTCTGAGAGAAAGGCACTAGTAATGGGGTAGGAGAGCAGGAGACCAGGAGAAGCCTCCTGTAGAAAGTGGGATTTCAGCTGTTTTGAAGGAAGCCAGAGAAATCAGGAGGTATGAGAGAGGAGGAAGAACATTACGGGTGTGGGAGACATAATTCACGCTACACTACCATAGTTCCTAAAAATCCATGGTCCTATCCATGACATAATGAGGTATTGGATGAGTATTTTTAGTGGAGAAACATTAATACAAGTCAATGAAATATATATGGAGAGCTTTAGAAAAGATAAAATCAGCACAGCTTCCTTGAAATTGAATTTAAATGGAGGTTAGAAAAACTGCTACCCCACAAATTAGCTTCGATCTCTGACTTAATCGATACAGATTAAGTATAGAAGTGGTTTAGGTTTTGTCGGGCTGTTTTTGTTTGTTTGTTTTTGCTTCGTTTTGTCCAGACCTATAATTCCATTGGCATAGGGAATTCCCTTGAAGAAACTCCATCTACCTATGTACATCAACAGCTGTTCTGTATGGCATTGAGAGTGACTTGTCCAAAGTACTACAGCCAGGATGTCTCAGAGTAGGAACTCTGAATCCAAGTGTCCTTGACTCACTACATAAAAATGCTCTTCTAGAGGGCGTGATATGCCTACAATTGTGGAAATAGCACTTTGGAAGTTTTTCATGGTGATATGAAAAATGTAAATAGGCTGAATAAGGCATATACTCATTGGCATATACATTACATACTCATTGTAAATGGATCTGTATGAGTGTCTTTATCAGTTTTAGGAAAAATGTAGATATTGGGAGACAAGCAAAGATGGGAAAGATAAATAGAATAAAAACAGAGATATACAGAGAGCCAGAGGCAGAAGGAGAAAGATCATGAAACCTAGGGTCAGAGAAGAAGGCTGAGGCTTAGAAAAGAAGATATGGAGATATAGAGAGGGCACACACACAGAGAGGAATAGAGAACAGATTTAAAAAATGTTTTTGCCAGTCTTCCAAAATATTGACAATTAAAACATTATTAAGGGGAAAAAATTTCAAACCCTCTGAGGTATGTTAGCCACAACTGAAAGCCCGACACTAGTTAACTGGGACTATGCAGAATAATTTCCAAGCTAGTAAGGATCTTCAAAATTGAGTGACAAGGTAGGCAGCAGTGACTTCTAAGGTAGCGAAAGTCAGCAGGTCTTTCCGAAGGTTTATAGTGCAATTCAAGTCCTTTGGAAGAACCAGCAATCTACATACCCAAACTAAGGCCTAGTTAAGATAAATTTCTTATCAGTCTTCCATGGATAAGCAACTAGAGAAAAGCATGCATATGAGGGCCTGTGGTTTTGCTTTTGTTTTTGTTTTTTTGTTTTTCCGGGGTTTTTTTTATTATGGAAATTACTGGAGTAGGCAGGGGATAAAGGCAGAATGTAGTGTGACAAGTCTAAGTGGGAGAATATACTAATAGCTGTACTTTCAGTACAATATTGGAAGAAAGAGAGAAAGAAAGAAGAAAAAAGAGAGAAAGAAAGAGAAGACACTTAGCACCTATTATGTGCCAGGCACTATGCTAAGAGCTTTAAAATTATTATCGCTTTTGATCCTCACAACAACTCTGGGAGGTAAGTACTGTTACTATCTCACTTTACAGTTGAGGAAACCAAGGCAGACAGAGGTTAAGTGATTTGTCCAGGGTCACACAGGCCAGATTTGAACTCAGGTGTATCCTAACTCTAGGCCCAGGGATCTATCCACTATACTATCTAGCTGGATCCAAATACCACCATATCCAAAATAGTAAGTCACATATCCAGGAATACCAAGGGTTTCCTGAATAATTTTTATTACTTTATGCTCTGCTTTCCTAATTTTAATGGAGAAATGGAAGATTTTGTGTTTCTTTAAGAAAAAAACTCTGAAGTTAAGCTGTTGTATATTTATGTGGCTCACACTGTCTTTGTTATCCTGTGGGTCAATAGCTCTCAATGAAAGACACACACACACACACACACACACACACACACACACACACACACACACCATTTTCCCAGTCTGGATTGCCATCTCCATATAGATGACTACCAGATCTATATATATCTATATATCTCATTTATCTCCTGAGCTAAAACCCCAAATCTCCCATTACCTGTTGGACATCTGCCCTTGGTTGAATGTCCCAGGGGCATCCCAAAATAGAGCCCATCTTTCCCCCTACTCTCAGGGTCACTCCTTTTCCCAGCTTCCCTATTGCTATTATTTCTATATGCTCATCAAATCATATATGCCCAGCTTAAAATAAGGTTCCAGTAAAGATGGTAAAGAAAGATATTACACAGAGAAACTGAATACTTTTGGGAGAATATTTACCTGCCCTAACAGAATATGAGTTCCTTGACAGCAGGGGCTATATTTCATCTTTGCCTTTGTATCCCTACCACAAGGCCTGATACACACATACAGCAGGCATTTAATAAATGTTTGATTAGCTGATTGAGTTGTTGTTATTGTTGAGGCTATCATCATACTTACAGTTACTCAGGTACAAATTCTAGGAATGATCCTTAACTTTTCACTCCTCTCTTCCCCTCCATATAATTAGGTACCAGGTCTTGCTGATTTTATCTCCACAACATCTCTTTTCAGTCATTTTTCAGTTGTGTCCAACTCTTGGTGATCCCATTTGGGGTTGTCTTGGCAAAGATTTTGGAGCGGTTTGCCATTTCCTTCTCCAGATCATTTTACAAATGGGGAGACTGAGGTAAACGGGGTGAAGTGACTTTCCCAAGGTCACACAGCTACTAAGTGTCTGAGGCTGCATTTGAACTCAGGAAAATGATTCTTCCTGACTCCAGCCCCGGCACTATTTGCACCATACCACTTAGCTTTATCCATCCCACTTGGACTTTTACAATAGTCTTCTAATTAGTCTCCAGTCTTTCCTAACTTCAATCCCTCCCCAACACACCTGCCTAGCACAGTGCCTGACACATAATAGGGACTCAATTAATGCTTGCTGAATAAAACTGAGGTGTTACCTAATATACTAACAAACATTTTTTTTTGGCAACTAGCAAACATTATTATAGCTTTCTCTATAAACCAGCTTGTTATTCATAAATTTTAAATAATATAAAGTTCCCACCTAAGATTCCATGCAGATGATATTCAGGAAATAATTCAAACAATTGATATAAAAATAATCACGATAACTCACATTTATGTAGTGCTTCAAGGTTTCACAGTATGTTTGACTTTCTTTGCTGCATTTATGCAACCATGGGACAAAGGTGTAATTATTATCTTCATTTTACATATGAGGAAACTAATGATCAGAGAAAGGCTAGGTGACTTAGAACTACAGATCTTTTACATTATCTAGCCCAGCTTCCTCAATTTACAGATGAAGGATGAAGGGCCCAGAAAAATAAAGTGACTGAAATGAAGGTCACAGGGGAGGTAGTAAGTAGTAGAGTCAGGATTCAAATCCAGATCCTTCTGGCACAAAAACCAGATCTCTTTCTTTTGTACCAATCCAGCTGTTATGTGTCTGAGACAGGATCTGAAATAAGGCCTTCTTGAGTCTCAGTCCAAGTTTATGAGTCCAACACAAATGTCAATTATCAAATGAATGATTGTTCCTTTTTTACAGAAGGTCTCACTCTTATCTATATGCCCAAGGACTATTTGTTGGATACCAACTGTGAGCCTACAGGAAGTGCTAGCTATGATTTCCCTACTCTTTGAAATTCTTCCATTGAGCCATTTCTGAAACAGATTTGAAGAGAGAATCACTGAGGCCTACAATGTAGTCATTGTATATTTAGACAATGGCCTGAGAGTTCTACTAACTGCCATATTCCCTCTCCCTGCTTTGTTTCCAGATTATGCAATGCCATCATGTTTAGATGGGATACTGATTTCTGGAATATAAAATTATATCAAAATAGCTCATGCATAGAGCCAACATCCCCATTTCGAACTTCCAGTCCCCACTTGCCCAAATGTTTGTTGATGACAGAGAGTATATAGTTAAATTTTCTCATTCATTACATGTTAATTTACAATTACAAGTCATTTTCCTTATTACCTTTTATTCCATCTTTTTATTTCTTACCTTTTGGATTTCGTAAATTGGATTGCTTTTATTTGCTTCACATTCAGAGACATTGCTATTATCTATATAGCTATAGTTACTTGTTTCTTTCCATATCCTCCGATAAATGTATTGTGTTGTCAGTGGACTAGTCAAAGACAAAGCAAATGCACTAAGGAAAATGGCAGGTTCTATGAACAAAGTCTTCTTCATGATAAAGGTCTGGTTTAATTCTCTGAAAAAAAAAAGAAAATCAATAATTACATTATTTCAGTATTATAGTATACTTTTTAAAAAAGCAAATGTGAAGTTGAAGTTTTGTGGAGCAAAGGGGAAAAACTAAGGAGATCTCAGGAAGTTTACACTTGACCATAGAAGAAATTATTTTACCTAAGAGGAGGAGTCTCAGTAAATTGGAAGTTTTCAAATTCTCTATTTTGAAGAGGAGGTATTTTTTTTTAACTAAAACTGGGAAACAAACTTTACTAAATTACATTACCAGCTCTGGCCACCCAACACATTACAGATCTCTGCTTTTATAATTCTTTTAATTTAATTTCAATTAATTAATTCGCCCGCTGGTTTTTATTGTGCAAATTATAAGTGGCCTTCAGAGTATCACTATTGCCTAATCAGACATACTTATCTTGGCATATTTGCCATTCCCTCACACAAAGGGCTGTTTTTACAGGACAAGTCCGTGGGAAAAGCTAAAAGAGGATTGTTAAGACTCACCTTAAGCTCAAATCTTCCTGTTGGTCAGGGCAGGAGTCTGGGAGTGTTAGGGTCCCAGTTTTATCCTTGGCTCTCAGTACCACAGCTTCCTAGCTATATCATGGCAACTGCTCTGGGAGTCAGAAGACTCACCTGTCCCTCGGGGTGAGGCCGGCTGCCAGCACGTCTTTGTCACGAGCAACTGGAGGAGGAGGAGGAGGGGCAGAAGGAAGAGAAGGAGGAGAAAGATGAGATCAGCCCCACCTGAAACAGCCAGTCTGTGTGGCCAGGTCCACCCACCTGAAGCGTCCAGTCTGTGTGGCCACGTCCATCCACCTGAAGCGGCCGGTCTGTGTGGCCAGGTCTACTCACCTGAAGGTGGCCAGGTGTACACAACCAAAGTGAAATTAGCAAGGGCTCAATTTGGTTCCACTAAGCCAGTCTAGGACTCTCAGGGCCACTCTAGATGCACAAACGAACCGAATGCCACTTGGACGCGCACAATTACAAGGAGGGGGTGGTTTCAGGAGGGTGGTCTGATTACTCGGCCTAGCCCGTAGTCTCTCTTGCAGTGTAGACCTGGCACGTATAGCGGTGCCCGAATGGGAGTTCCCGTATCCAGGTGTCTTGTGGATTCCGGAGGTCGGCTCCCTCGCACCTCACCTAAAGCGGGCTCCCTCCCTGCCCCTCCTGGGGCTCTTCCCACCCCTCTGCTTGTTTCACTTCCTTCTTCCCGGGGGAGCGACAGCAGCTCTGCTGTCACTCATTCCAGCCCATTCCACCGGAGCGGGGCAGGCAGCCTTCCTTCTCCCCCTTCCGCCTTCTTGCACTGGATGGGGACAATGACAGTTACGTCCGCCCCGCGGCGCTGCCCAATGGGAACCTCGGCCGCCTCCCGCTGACGCCCGGTCCGAGGACAAGAGAGCTCGGGAGAGCTACTGCGAGCGCTGCGGGGAGGGAGCGTGGGAGTGGCTGGAAGCAAACCCAAGGGCCGGGGGTGTCATCAAAGATGACTTTGTTGCTCTCTTTCTGAGCCCGAGCCGATCATTGGAGTCCGCGTTCTGCTAGATCCCAGCCATTGGTCGAGGCCGGTGTCATTCACTCTCCCGGCCCCGCCCTTCTGTCAAGTTGCGTAACAGTGTTTGTGGTTTTGTAGTGAGGTTTTTAGTGGAGGAGGGAACGGAGGGCCGAGAGGAGTTACTTTACTGTAATTCTAGTTTCACGAGTTGTAAACTTCCACCAAACCCTAGCGTCTTGTACAGGGCAATTTGAGGGCCAATTTCTATTTTTTTAATGAAGCAATCTCGGTCCTAAATAATTTGCTTCAGCACCAAAAACCTTAGTCGCATGAGATGACTCAGCGAAGGCATGGGTCAAGTTAACCTAAAGCGTTCCCAGCCTATTGCAGAAATACAAAAGGGAAAATTGGCCGCATCTCCCCAAGAGTTTAAATTCTGGGACAGCTTCCAACGTTTTATGTGCAGCTGTGGTGCAGGCACAACCTCTTCTGCCTGTCCATGTCCCTAGATAAACTACCCAACGGGTCTGCCCCTAGGCCAATGCCAACAGAATCTACCCAGATAATAAACACGTTCTCATTAAGACATGAAAGCCAAAAATAGGAAAATGTGTTCTGACCATTTTTCTTCTTCTTCTATGTATCAGGGGCAGAGAGAAACTGCAGAGGACACATATGTATTCCTGGCTATTCATAGGAAAAAAAGAGGAAACTCTTTCCAGACTATATCTAACTCTTCTACTCTGGCTACCCATCTCTGAGACGGTAGCTGCATATAAAACTTTCTCTTCTTTCATCAAGTAATATTAAGGGAAAGCATTGGGGCAGAGGAGAAGGAACATTGGCTCCAGAATAAAGAAACCTGGATTGTAATCCTGGCTCTGCCACTATGACCTTGATCAAGTCACTTATAACCTTGTTGGAGACTCAGGTTTGTCATCTATAAAGGGGAAATTGTAATATCTCCCTAGATTTCATCACAGGATTGTATTGAGGATCAAATGGCATATTTATGAGAGTGAATTCCAGTTTCTATTGCCAATGGAAGAGCTTTGGATGCTTAAGTGGGTCATTGAGGGGTGTCACCAATCTAGAGAATTTCAGACTTTACTTTCTTCCTCTTTCTTTGGGAACAGTAATCAAATCAACACTATAATTCCTATAAAGGACAAGCCAATCAAGTATCCCACCCTAGTTATCACTCCCCTACATACGCTGTTTCCCCTTTTTAGAGTGTAAACTCCTTGAAGACAGAGCTGTCTTGCTTTTTATATTTGTATTCTCAGCATTTGGCACATAGTATGTACTTAATAAAAGCTCTTTCATTGATTCATTCACTTATTCACATGCTGGATAAAGAAAGGCAGCCTTATAAGAAGAGAGAGGTGCCCTTGTAATACTGGCAATAGTTGCCAACAGGTCGATTGCTCGGTCTTCCTGATTTAGGTAACAATAATTAATGAAATAAAATACACCAGGATCTTCATTGGGAGCCAGTGTATAGAGGGGACTTGGCTGTAAGACTTGGTCCAATGTTGAGAGAATCATCTGATAACTTTAAAATACGTGGGCAGAAAATATGAAGGTCTCCCAATAGAACAAGGCTGAATCTATGCCAGATGTTAAAATTCTCTTTTTCCTTACAGGGAAAATGACATTGAGACAAGACAGTCAACTATATGCAAGTTCAAAAATGTTGTGAGGAGTTTATTATATTAAGCACTTTTTGGCAATTTAGAAATGACATTTGATAAGGAGATATGAGAATTCTGCTATTGTAATGACATAGATGAATTTATGCAAGTGTTCATACATTGCATTCATACATAGAAGATGAAAGAAAACAGGCATAGTCCTGTCATATGACAGAAATGTCTGAAGATTATACTGAAACAGTGATTTTGGAGGTTCAGAATAGGTAACATTTACGGTTTAATGTTTAAAAAAGCATTTTACTGGATCCTCACAACTCAAGGAACTAGGTAGCTCAGGGGATAGAGCACCAGGCCTGTAGAGAGGAAGACTCATATTCCTGAGTACAAGTTCATCCTTAGACACTTATTGGCTGTATGACCCTGGAGAAGTCACTTAACCCTGTTTGCCTCAGTTCCTCATCTGTAAAATGAGCTGGAGAGGGAAATGGCAAAACCACTCTGGTATCTCTGCCAAGAAAACTCTAAATGGGCTCACAAAGAGTCAGACACAACTAAACAACAACTCTGTAACATAGATCCTGTTATTATCCCCATTTAACAAATGACAAAGCTGAGGCTAAGAGGTTAAGTAATTTGCCCAGAACCATAGAGCTATTAAGCGTTTCAATCGAAACTCAGATTTTCCTTATGCCAAGTTTAGCTTACCAGATACACTATCATCCATCTGCCTTAGAAGGGAGTACTATCATCACCCTGGGTTATTCTCATTCTAGGAGAGTGAGAAAATAGAGAGCCACTATCTATGACACATATTCTACTCACTCTGGAATCCCAAGATTGCCAACAAGTTTTGGAGTTCAAGGTAGGTGTAATATATGGTCTGAGCCCTTGTCCAGTGTCTGCTCCATTAACAGATTAGATAGGACTCATAAATTAAATAGCAAAATGTCTTCTTGAAAAATAAAACCAAAGTAAAGCAATAGGAAAAAAAACCAAGCAATGGAGACATTTTCAGCACTCTCCCTATCCTCCCCATCATTCCCAAATGATCATTACCTTGTGTAGGCATTCCCTGGTAGGGAAGAGTTTAGGACCTCTTCACCAAACAAATGCCTGGAAAACTCATGCTCCAAAGTAAGGCTTCAGTGCTGCCTGCTTTGTGGCAGGGTGGAAAGACCTATCCAAATTACAGAATTTCACAATTGGAAAAAAACTTCACTATTTTTTATATACGTATGTGTGTGTGTGTGTGTGTGTGTGTGTGTGTGTATACACACACACACATACACACATACTTATATAAAATACAAAATACATATACCCACATACATACATATGTGTATATGTATACATACACATATAGATATACCTAATATATACAGTATATTATACTATATATTATATAATGCACAATGCTTATATATTAATTATATTAATACAATAATATTATAATAACCAACATCAGTAAATGGTAATTACAATAATTAACAATGGATAATGTAAAAATATATTATTAATATGATGCGTATTATTAACATATTCTATATCATCTAATACATATATGTATATGTGTGTGTATATATGAAGAGAGAGAGAAAGAGAGGCCCCCCCCAATCTGTTTTACAACAAACATAATAAGTAGTTTTCCAGATTTTTTCTTGGAGATTATTGATGAGGAGGAATATACTAGCATCCCAGGAATTCCATTCACTTTTGTTTAGTTTTAATTATTAGGAAAATTTTCCTTATGTCAAGCCTAACATTTGCCTCTTTGCAACTTTCCCCCATCACTCATCATTCTTTTCCCTGGATCCAGGACTGAAAAAAATCTAATCCATCTTCCAGTTGACAGCCCTTTAAATACTTAAAGATACATGTCATGTTCCCCATAAATCTTCTCTTCTCCAGTCTAAACATCTCTATTTCCTTTGACCACTTCATATATGGAATGAACTTGGAATTCCTTCACTATCCTGGTTGCCTTCCTCTGTTCATTCTCCTGCTTGGCATCATCCTTCTAAAAATATGGTACTCTGACATGAATGCAATATCCTAGACAAGGTCCATTAGGGCAGAGTCTAATGTAACTATCACTTCCTCATTTCTGAAAGCTAAGCTCTCTTAATTCAGTCAAGGCTTGCATTTCACAGAAACTCCCAGATCTTTGAGACAATCTGCTATCTAACCATGCACCCTTCATCTTGTATTCATTAAGTCAATATTTTGAATGCACGTATAAACCTTTGCTTTTATCACTATTAAAATTACTATTTTGGATTCAATTCAATGTTCTAATCTGTTAAGTTTTTTGGGATCCTTTATCATCTAGGGGACTTCACTATCTAGGATATTTGCCATGCCTCTCAGTTTCATCTGTTTGATGAAAAGCACAGGGTCAAGGACAATCTCTTGGATATTCCCCTGGAGACCTTCTTCTAAGTTGACAGTGAACCATCAATGATTACTCTGCTCTTCTTTGGATCCACCGATTTATCTAGATTAAAATCCATCTAATTGTACTTTCATCTATCCCACATCTCTCTGTATTTTTCAAGAGAATGAGAGACCTTATCAAATACTTTGCTAAAAAGTAACTTAGATTAACCACATTCCCTTTATCTATCAGTTTAGTAACCCTGTCAAGGATGGAAATAAAATTAGTTTGATATGACTGGTTCTTGAGGAAGCCGTGCTAGATCCTGGCAATTCCTGCTTCCCTTTTCTAAGTGTTCATTAACCATCTCTTTAACAACACAGTCTGGATTTTCTCTAGGATCAAAGTCAAATCACTGGCCTACAGGGTGAAGACTCCACTCTTTCCTCTCTTTTCACAATCTATTTTCTGGCTTGTACTCCAAAGAGATCAAAGAAGGAAAGAAAGGACCCATATGCACAAAGATAATTATAATAGTTCTTTTTGTGTTGGGAAAAAAACTGGAAACTATGAAGGTGTCTATCAATTGGGGAATGACTCAGCAAATTGGGGTATATGAATGTCCTGGAATACTTATTGCGCCAAAAGAAATGGTGAAGTGGATGGTTTCAAAGAAACCTGGGAAGATATGTATTAACTTATGCAAAATGAAGTGAGTAGAATCAGGAGAACATTTCATAAAATAATGACAACATTGTAAAGACAAACAACTTTGAAACACTTAAGAAC